TGAGCAGCAGTGCAAGCGAAACAGCAGCAGTAACAGACAAATAGCAGTAGGGCAATTTGAACAAAAAACCCAGTGCAAGAGGCAAAATGGCAGAATGACAGCAATGACCAGTAGTATAGAAACAGAAATCCAGACAATCCAATTCCAAGAGAATCAACCAATGCAAACCAAACTAACACACTTAGCTGATACTTGAAAAGAAAACTGACTGAATAGGCTGAGCAGGCTAAGAATTGAACAAAAGCAGGAAGAAAACCAGTTTCTGATTTCTGTATCTTTATCCCTCTTACTATCTATTTCTTTTCAAAACCCAATGTCCAATTTCAGTCTTGAAATCTATTTTTGGCTATCCAAAAGAATTCTTTTCCAGTTCTTTTTTCTGTTTTTCAGAACTCAACTCTCCTCCAAATGTTCCCTCTCAGTTCACTCTGTTATTATCAATGTCTATCTGTGTGTGTGTGTATATCCAAAAATCTCCTCCTGTGTCTCTCTATTATCCCCCTTTTACTGATGGAAATCCCCCCTTTTATGAACCTAAAATCAACCTTTTAACAACCTGTTTAGACAATTAGAATACCCCTCCCATGTGCTACCCTCTTTTCAGATTCCACTTAGCTATTTAAGTATAAACCCCCCATGATATTCCCTGACAGACTTACTCTTTTAAACGAGGTTTAATACTTCTTAAACTAAAGCAGGGTATGGGCAGCAGAATATAATCTGACAGCATATGCTGTCAAATTATTTTAATCAGAATGGCTCTTATGCACATGTTGTGCACTGAAGCACATGCCCTCCAATTCAGGTTGTAACTAACAGACCAAAACTTGGATTTCTGAAATCAAATTAACAACTATAAGTTACTAAACCCAGTCTCTAATTGATTCAGGCAATGCTTAACAGAAGCAGGTCAATTGGTTATTGTTCGGACAACCGAAACTAATTGACGACATATGTCGACTCGACTATACTAATCATAACACGTACAATCGAAACCAAAATCAGACATTTAACAGTATCGAACACATGACTCGAATCATACTGACCAAGCAGAATTGTACTGGGGAATCAGTTGATCAGTCAAATTTGAGGTTCGACTAATTGCACAGCACACACATATACACATTATTAGTAAAAATAGAAGAGGGATTCAATCAATCACAGAGGTTCAGGTAAGGTGGACAACCAACAGTTGATAAAAATTCAAAGACACAAATTATACAAGACATTCGGCCATACGAACAGACCTTTTAACTACACACGTACTGAATAACAAAGAGAAAACAAACTTACCTTAAAAACTTTGAAAACAGAAAAATCAACTCGTTTGAAAAGACCCTTCTCAAGGTTGAACGGAATTTAATCGAAGTGTTTCTCAAATGAGAAACACTTCGATTAAAGTCCATTAGACCCTAATCTCTTGGTTCGAACAGGCACGGAACA